TAGTGAGCCAATCTTAGCTAGAGGAACAAGCTCAACTGATAAAATCTCAAGAGTTTCTTCGTGATGGTCTTTCAAATATGACAGAACAGCTGATAGAAGGAAAAACTGAGCTCATGCAAGAGATAGACCAATTTGGCTTAGATAACCATGACCTGCATGATCAATTGAATAAAAAGGTTGAGGCGTCTGATGCCCTACAACCAATTTTTGTGGATACTGGCCAGCTTGTGAAGCAAAAAGAGGAATTCCAATGATTCGACCAAAATATTATTAATGATGCCAAGGTTGATGAAGAGTGAAAAATTGAGGATGTCAAAAATAATGCAATTTTGGAGTTTGAGCGTATTGGACCTCATTCTAAACACTTTTCAACATTGTGTTTGGTTGGTGACATGGGAATTGATCCAGTCGAGCATATGGAGAAGTCAATGGATGAGGAACAAAGTGCTTATATTCTTAAATTTGTGATGTCAAGGAGACAAAACAACATTCCTCACTTAAAGGCCAAGAAATGCAAGATGCGATACCTACTACTTGGGTTCTTTATTTTTACACCACCGCCTCATGAACGTGATAGAAAAATTGATGCAAAATAGGGGGCGCAATTCATATCCTCAAAGTGGAAGGAAAAGTGGTGAAAGTGATGGAGTCGTGCCGCGACGTTAAATCAAGCGCTTGTTGGGTGGCAACCCAGGCTGTATTTTAATTTTTTAATTTTTTATTTTTTTATATAGTGTCAAGTTTCGTGTTGTTTTTGTTTTGCAGAGTAGGGGAAGTTTGAGTACCCGAAGTTGAAGCTGAGGAGCGTGTTTGAGCTTAAGTGTGGGGTCGTCCCGACCCTTAATATTGAGGATCATGTCCGAGCTAGGCCCGAGAGGGCCTCAGGGAGTATTTCTCACCCTTGTTTTAATAACTTTCTTCGTGATCATGCATCGAGGACTATGCATAATATAAGTGTGGGGTGGGGAAACTACTTTCTGAAGTGTAATTGTATAAAACTATTTTTTTATTTAGTTTTTCTTTGGAACTCGTAGTAGACATAGTCTAGGTGAAAAAAAAACTTGAAAAAGTTCGGATTTTTCCCGACGATGGATCTTTTGGACAATTTTCTTGAGGGATAAAAGTCCGATTAAAAAATCCAAAAAGATTTTTTTTAGAATAGTTAGGTAGTATTCCTTGGTTTTTCTTTGGGTCACCGGTTCTTTTCCAAGGATGTAGCTCGAACCGGGTTACTTATTTTTTTTAAGAAGTAGTTTAGGAAGAAACTGAGTCGCTCCGAGATACTCAT